ATCCGGTTGAAAGACCCCAGAGGTGGAAGTTGCATAAGGCTGATTGGGCTCTTTTTGAATCTTTGTGGGGAGCCACGGTGGCTGGTTGGTTAAGACGCTGGCTCGCTAGCCTGTAGGTCGGGTGTTCGATCCCTGCATTGGCGGGGAAAGGTCATCTGGATTTTCCGACGTGGTTTCCCCTTGTCAGTGGTGCAGAACGGAGGGCCTGACAAGGACAGCTGGAACTCGATATAAAAGTAGGCGATAGTGCCGCTGCCCGGGCAAAATTTCCCTCATAGCACACTGTATGGCGTATGCCCGTCTTCATTAGCCCAGTATAGGAGCAGAACAGTAGGACGTTAAACCCCATTTCATTTCATTTCATTTCATTTGAATCTTTGTGTCTCTTCAGGATGTTGCTGAGCGATTCCGAAGACCACGACTGAGCCAAAACGTTTAAAAAAACAATGGTATAATAACGATTGCAAATCCGGTCTTGGAGAGCGTGATCGTATCTTAAGGCGCCTTGAGAATCCCCATTCCATGGAGAATATTATTACTGCCCTCCAATGTGTATTTCGGTCCCAAAGGAGCAGTCTTGATCATCTCGTTCGATTTGAAACGTTCGCCAGAGACGCTTTAGTTGCAATATTTTTCGATCTGTAGAAAGCATGTGATACTACATGGAAACATTGTATCATGCGTGACCTCCATAACCTTGGCTTACGAGGTCGCTTACCTATCTTCATTAAAAAATTCCTGGAAGATAGGTCATTTAAGCTACGACTGGGATCAATATTCTCTGACCCATTTCCTCAGGAAATAATGGGAGTCCCTCGGTGAAGCACATTATCTCCAACACTCTTTGCAATAAAAATTAATACCATCCCAGTGTGCCTTAAGCCAGGGACAAACGACGCTCTTTTTGTTGATGACTTTCAGATGTTCTATCGTTCTACAGGCATGCGGATTATCGAACGTAAGTTGCAGCTTTGTTTAAATTCACTTCAACAATGGGCAACCGAAAATGGTTTTCGATTTTCAAAATTCAAGACTGTCTGCATGCATTTCTGTCAGAAACGAGGTTTGCATCCCGACCCAGAACTATTCCTGGATGGCAGTCGTCTTCCAATTGTTGATGAGGCTGATATTTGATAAGAAATTATCATTTATCCCCAACATTAAAAGCCTAAAAAAGAAATGTCTGAAAGCCCTCAACATATTGAGAGTCCTATCAAATACTGACTGGGGAGCAGACCGTAAGGTCTTGCTTCGATTATATCGAGCATTAATAAGATCTATAATCGATTATGGGTGTGTTGTGTATGGGTCTGCCCGCGAGTCGTATCTCAAAGAGCTCGACAACATACACAACCAGGGACTTAGAGTCAGTTTAGGAACATTTCGTACATCTCCAGTGGACAGTTTATACATCGAGGCGCATGAGCCCTCACTGCACAAATGACGTGATAAACTAGCCCTGCAGTATGCTGCTAAAATAACATCTTTACCAAACCATATTTCATTTAACACCATATTTAGAACATATCATGAGCATTTATATCTGCTCAAGACTAAAGTTATTCCACCATAATGCGATATTCGCATACAACCCGTGGGGTATATCTCCCCTAAAGATCGATTTCGATCTTACACACCATAAGAATAATAAAAGCTTGAACCACCATTGGTAGCAGATGTTTATCGTCTGCTACTATTTTACAAGTTTAACAGCAAAGACATTGTCTTTTGCTGGCTCTCTAATCACGTTGATATAAGGGGAATGATAAAGCAGATTTTGCTGCCAAACTTGTGTTTTAGATTCCCCCCATCACCGTTTTTATTACCTTTTAAAGAGTTTAATTCATCAATAAATTTGTTCATTTATGCCCGCTGGCAACGGTCATGAGATCTTGCAGGCACAAACAAACTTCATCACATAAAACCTCTCTTAGGACACTGGCCAAGCTCCTATAGAACTAACAGGAGGGATGGGGTTGTTTTGTGTCGCTCTCGCATAGGTCATACCTTTTTAACTGACATTTTTATCTTGAAGAGAGAGCCTCAACCAGAATATGAACATTCTGATAGAGTGCAAGCATCTCAAGGATATTAGATCAAATTATTACCGTTGCCAGTCTCTACGTTAATTATTTGCTCAACCGAACTATATAATAAAACGTTAAACTTCTTAAAAGAGACAAACTTTTACTCAAATTTTAACTGTATATATTTTATCATATGTATTATATCTTTTTAAATATTTCTATATGTAAAGTGATATATTTATTTTTAATTTTATTGTCTGTGATATTGGTTTTTATTTTCACATATAATTACAATTTTGTGATATTTCCTTAATTTGTCTCATTAAATTAATCATGTGTTTGGCGCAATATAGCCCGGTTGGAACTGGCGTGCCATTAAACTCCATTTCATTCATTCATTCCTTTGCGAGAATTACAAATAGGCTTGTACTAGGCATTGTTAATACATCTCCGGCCAGTCTATAGTTATTGTTTTTACAAGACGACTGTGTGCTGAAGACAAAGACTAGAAACCTCGGCAAAATGTAAATAATTTTAATAGATCTTTAAAATTATATGATGGTTATCTCGACGGCCCTTTTTTTCCTGGGATAGTAGACGAGATACCATCGGCAGATACTAGCACAATAAATTTTAAAAAATGTAAAGACACAGACATCAGTCGATGCGACTTTGACCAATCTAAATAGCAAGATTAAATCTTTATTAAGTAGGATCAATAGGCATCAAATAAAATTTGCCTTTTAAAAATAAACCAAGAAAGACCACAGAATGCCATAATTTGGTCATGCAACTAAAATACCTTAACTCTTCCGATAGGAACGTCGAAGCGGTTATAACCATATCTTTGGCTGTCGCGGTAATCAAATCTAATTACACTCTCTCAAAAAATACAGTTCAAAGAATATCATGTTATCGCGTCGGTGTATCGTTAAAACATGTTCGGAAACATTAAAGTCGGGCTATACTATATACTGGAAAATACCGGAAAACAACCGCCAGAAAACAGCGGAGAACTACCGGAAAACACCATGTTATACTGAATACCGGAAAACACCGGAAAATGGTGTTTTCCGGTAGTTTTCCAATGTTTTTCGGTATATAGTATTGCCGGTTAAAGTCAACGAAATACATCACTTTATATACGAAAAAACGGCAATACTATATACCTGAAAACACCGGAAAACAACCGGAAAACACCGGATAACAACCGGAAAACTACCGGAAAACACAATGTTATACTGAATACCGGAAAAACACTAAATACCGGAAAACACACTAAATACCGAAAAACACCCTAAATAGGTAACCCAGAGCCTGGTCCTCTAGAGATTTGCGGGGGGTTAGGGTTAGGTTTTTTCCGGCGTTTTCCAGAGAACCAGCGGTGGGTTAGGTTTAAGAATTTGGGGGAGAGGTTAAGTCTCCACATAAGCACTGACCTAGGATGATGAAAAGTTAGTTTTTCCTAGTTTTATTTTACATACAATACATTAGATTTATATACAAAAGCGATTTCGCTGTTTTTTGGTTTTGGTGGCGCTGATGGTCTTCCTTGGATGGTACTTCTGGTATTTTTGTTTCTGAAGAATAAAAAGAATAAATTTGAGGCTCTCGGGGGAGAGCCACATTAGTGTGTTTCCTACTACGGATTGGATTTTTTTAAAAAATCGTGTTTGTTCCACATCACCGGGTTAGGGCTAGGGATTCTTATATCTAGTTGATTTTATTTACTAACGGTTAGGGATTGGATTTGATATATGGTTTGTTTTGGGTTAGGGTGAAGACTGGTCTTATTTAATCTAATTTACTGTGTAGTAGGATGTCGTTCAGATTTTTATTTTTAGAATATGCAACTATAAGTTTCTGTGTGAATATTTTCGGGTGATTTTCTTGGAGATCAGTATAGTGTTTTCTGATGAGTTGGGGTGCACTTGCCGCTGTTGCGCTAAATGGGACTACAAAAGGGGCTATTGCGCTAGCCGTATGAATATTCAAACCTAGGGGAGCTGTTGTTTTCAATTTGTCAATCCAGAATTTTTCTCTTGTTAGCCTAAACATTTTCCGGTGGTTTCTCGGTGTTTTCCGGTATATAGTATAGCCCCGAAAACCCCTCACAAAATTTGGCTCTTGGTTTTCGAAATGTGGCTGATAAATATGCGCAGAGGAACTGTATTTTAGGCTGTATTCGGTCCAAATGTTTATTTTTTTGCCAAACGAACCTGGGTCGTTATTTACTTTTTATGTTATATCTCAAGTCCCTTGGGATTTCAAAATTACCGCTAACGCCATTTCATGGTAACCGGTTTAATATTATTTTCCACAATGCCGCAAATATAAATTATATGGCCAAGCATATAAACAATTTTCTTGGTGATTTTGGCGTAGAAAATAGATTACCCTAAAACAAATTTTTCGATATTAAAATTCCGCTTTTTTATATTGAGTACCAGATTTTGGGCTTGATAGATAAATTGTGGCACATATAAGAAAGCGGCATTAATTCTCTTGATACGAAACATATTTATCAAAACTTACATGATTTTTTCGACAATGCGCAAATATTATATATACTATTTATTATCAATCGATTTGTGAAATATCGTAAACGATCGTGCTATCGGGTGAGATTTGAGTTATGTTTTGTTTGTTAAAGTGAACACACTTGTTTGTTAATTTTTAACATATATATTTTCGGGAAAACCTGTATTTCTTTCGTATAATAGCTGACTATCTACCAATACAGATGTTATGCTGTGCATATAAATGTATATATTTTCAGGGTGTTGGAAAAGGCGACATTCCAATAAAAAAGAAATAACACACCAGATCGATCCTATTCTACACTTTATTTGTACCTAAATCAACCAGATTTGGCTCCTTAAAAAAACAACATGGTGCTGTCGATTTAAACTTTTATACCAGTATCATTTTTTTCTCTTTAAACACACATTTATTACTCTTTGTACATTTCAGAAAATGCTGATGATCCCTTGTTTACGTTGGACCCATGTTCTATTGCCTTAGCTTATTGTTCTGAAATATTATACAGAGCTAGCATAGATCCAGATCTAAGCCAATCTTGTGTGTAAGTCAACTTTGCATCGACTTTTTCTCATGTTCTATTGCCTTAGCTTATTGTCCTGAAATATTATACAGAGCTAGCATAGATCCAGATCAGCTAAGCCGATCTTGTTTGTAAGTCAACTTTGCATCGACTTTCTTTTCATATACCATCAGCTACAGTTTTGGACCAGAAACTGGTCCCCTAACGCTACTCGTCTTGTTGTTCTTTGGGGCGACGCTGTTCGATAAAGTCTTAATGATCCGTCAATTCAAGTACGATCGACATGAAACTTGACATGCCTGTTCCTTGGACCTTGGTGATATTATGGATTTGACAATGTTTGAAAAAAACAATAATTCAAGACAAACGTTACTGTTAAAAAGGGTATTCATTGTAAGTTCATCCTTTTAATTTGTCTGTTACTTCAAACATTCGCTCGAAAAGTGTAACATCCTGCTAAGAATACGTAATGATAGCGTATGCACTATAGTGACAGTGATACAACCATAGCGCCTAGACTGTGAACCATATTGCATAAAATCGCATTTTCTACTTCAACAATTGTCTATCAAAAAATGAAAAAAAAAAAAAAACGAAAAATTTGTAATCTTGTCTACATTTTGGGAAAATTTTCAATGGAGATCAATGTAAGACACACTGAATCCGCGGTTGCATCCCAGAAACTCCCTCAATCATATAATATTGTTATTATCTCTCTTTTACGTAGATTGAAAGAACAGTATAAAAGCTGTATGATAGTTAATACAACAGCCTGTGATGCTAGTTTACAACCAATAATAAACAGTAATGTGGCGGTAGCAGATACCACTTATAATAAACAGCCATTTTTCTGCCTAGAAAGTAAGGAAAGATAACCACCACGTAATGATAATATTAAATCATTTATGTTTGAAGTTACCATTGTACTAATTGCACAATATTTTTTTGCGGATTCCTAAATCAAAGAAATCTATGTTAAATTTAGTGGAATCAGTCTGCGCCCAAATTGAAAATCTGGCTTGAATATAATACAGAAGGTTCACTGAAAAAAAATCTTGTGTTGGATCTCAACACAAGTACTTGTGTGAAAATTATGCTACACATTACTTGTGTTGTTTTGCATTGCATTAACACAAACTTGTGTTCTGTTCAATGCGTTAACACAAAACTCGTGTAGATTTATAAAATCTTTTTTTTTCATATAATTAACACAAGTAATGTGTACCGTCAATAAATATTTTGTGTTTTTAAAAATTGAACTCCATACAAAGTTTTAATTCGGGGGTCCACAAGTATAAGAAACGTATTTTTTTTTTACTCAGACAATAGCCAGACAGACTTAAATGCTAATTGGTGTTTAGATGTCTGTAGTTAAAATACAGTTGTTGGTTATTCTATTGGCCCAATAAACTGGTAGATCAAAGGAATACATAATAGGCCTGGTGAGCATGCCCGGTGTGATTTTAACAATTGACTCAAAATGCGTTGACAAGAAAATGGGTAAATGTAATGAGATGATAAAATCGACGTACTATAGGCTAAATTTTGTCTGCGATATCACCTCGGGGGAAGTGAACGTTAAATAAAGCAATTTTATACACAGACATTTACCATTAACAGCGTGCTGAAATAATTTTTGAGCAGTGATATGATTGATAAATGCAATGATCACAGAAAATACAAGACCGCAGGTTTGTAAATATTTATAACTAAAATAATACCGTGTATTTAATTTAGCATCGATATTGTTTCTATGTATAGTAGTATTCCGTTTCCTTAAAAATAAACCCCAAAAAATCCCCAAACCCCAACAATTCAACCGGAAGTAAAAGGTTAACAATGGCGCGAGGACAGGTGAAAAAATTTCGGCATGTTATAATTGAATCTGTCTAATTTTTCTGAAATCGTGCTTAATTGTTCGGCGTTACGATGTTGTTCAAATACTTATATTACAGAATCACATTAAACCAGAAACGGCTCGACTTGAGCCAGCAGGTAAGAATCTGTTTTGAAATTATACCTAGGGAGGGTGGATTGGCAGGGGAGAACCGATTGGCGGCCATCTTGATTCTTGTTTCATGATTTTTTATAAACATTTTGGCAAGAGTAAACATGAACCCGGGCACGACTAGAAAATAACTTTTTAAACTTTTGCGTTAGTTGAAATGTAATCTAATTTCTGTTTTAAAAAAAAACAAAACAAAACCCCTCTAATCAAATAAGCATATATTTTTCCCACACACGCCGTTCAACCTCTGTGTAATAAATATTATTTCACTGATAGAACTAGAATCAATCTGTGGAAGTTTCTCTGTAGTTTCATTATTTTTTTCCAGTCAGTGATGCTATGTGACCCTTTCCAACAGAGAGAGAGAGGGAAATGACATAAACAAGGCCTTACATGTACTTGCATTTGCCCAATCAAGTAGTCCAAGTAGAACAAGTTGCTCTGTAGTTTCATTATTTTATTCCAGTCAGTGATGCTATGTGACCCTTTCCACCCTCAAATTTTAAACAAACATTGAGAATTTAACCAAGGACTCCATTGAAGAAAATCTGGTAACGATTTCATATTATTCTTAAATTTTCTTTTTTTTTACCACTGTCCTACAATTATTAGTGTATGTGAAGATACAATCCCACGTAACGTGTTTATATGGCACTTATATGCAACAGAGAGAGAGGGGAATGACACAAACAAGGCCTTACATGTACTTGCATTTGCCGAATCAAGTAGTCCAAGATATGCGATGTCCTACATGCATACCAGGTTACCGGTAATCAGCATACTGCCTCATTCTACATGTATTAAGAATTGGTATGTTGTGTAATATTAATTCTGCATCAACCTAGAGTTGTTGTAGGATGGGTCCTTATCTACTTACTGGCACTAGGTCGTTTTGGGACTAAGGTATGGTTAAATTTAATATGAATAATTCGCTTGCGCGTAGGGGTATTTAGCAAAATGAGGAAACCGAAGGACCCAGACAACACTCAAGAGGTTGGACAGGTGACCCTATTCCTTGAAATCGAAACCATGCCACTCGACACAATGACAGACCCTGTGATTTCATGTGCATATTTATTAAACCACTAGAGCATCCCCCCCACCCCACCCCATATCGAATAAAAGTATGGCTTATTTCAAATATGATATTATTCATATTTGCATATAAAGAAAGTAGAGACTCCGGTCTTACTAGAAAAATACTGGATTACCTGAAATGAAATGGGGTTTAACATCCTACTGTTCAGCTCCGACTGATCTAATGCATTGTGCTAAGAGAAAAATTTTTCCCGGGCAGCGGGAATATGGCCTACTCTCATATCGAATTCCAACTGCCAAGGAAACTTTTAAGTGTCCGTCAATGTGTACATTGAAATGGACCTCAGGGGAAGCCAGCGCCTAACTCATTCAGTCATCATGGCCATTTTCTAATTACTGCGACAGTGAAATCATGTGACAAACAAGGATTATTAAAATAGATTTTAGTTCCTTGGGATTAAAACTTTTGATACATATATTTGTCATGTATTTATTTTTTCAGTTTCAATATTGGATGCATACACAAATCACCCAGAAAAAGATCATATAATAAAAGAAATTAAAAAAGAAAAAAAATGGAAGAAGAAATGGTGATAGAGCAGCTTGTTCTTGGTGGGTAACTATTCAATTCTAATAGGAAAGATTGTTGTTATGCTGTTTTGGAATCTAAAATTCAGTTTAGTATAGTAAAGCTGTACAGGTGCATGGACAGAATCTTAGTTACATGTAGATATGACTGTCTCATCAGTGGCAAAGCAAACCAACACATGTAATTAAATTAACATTTTTTAACTAAATCAAAACTGTCTAGTCAATTCAAGACAAATAATACATAGCGTATATCTTTTTTCAGTTACACACCTCGGAAGATCAAGACAGTTGGAAATGGCTATTGATATTGTGGAAGCGTCTCGGGCTCTGCCATTTTAAATACGATCAACATGAAACTCAGGAGGCTTGTTTGGTTGAGGGGATCACGTGGCTAAGTGGGTAAGACGCTGGCTCGCTAACCTTGAGGTCGGGTGTTCGATCCCTGCATTGGCCGAGAAGGTTCATCCAGATTTTCCGGCGTGGTTCCCCTTGTCAGTGATGCAGGACAGAGGGCCTGACAAGGACAGCTGTCTAGTCGTTCGGATGGGACGAAAAACCGAGGTCCCGTGTACATATTGGTGTGCATGTAAAAGATCCCTTGACAGTTGGAATTCGATATAAGAGTAGGCCGTAGTGCCGCTGTCCGGGCAAAATTTCCCTCATCGCACACTGTATGGCGTATGCCCGTCTTCATTAGCCCAGTTCGGAGCAGAACCGTAGGACGTTAAACCCCATTTCATTTCATTTGATTGGTTGATTTTCTTAAGAGTTTTGATATATTACGTCAAAACTATAAGATGGATGCAATGTTACACCATTTCATAACAAATATTATAAATCGTTCAAATGCATGAATTTGTAAAATATAAATAATATCATATTATAATACTGTTTGCAATACCGCATTTACAATTGCCTTAGTGGAGCTATTTGATAAACCAAATGGTTAATTTTTCATGTTATTGTCATTTTTTCAAGACTTTTGTTCTGGCTTCTGACCCATTGAGGCATAATAATCTGCCTGGGTCTGTAATTGGAAAAGGCACAATAAGTATTATTCAAAGTTGAAACAATAGAGAATTAACATGTGGCAAAATGAGTTGTTTATTTAAACATTCTGAACCATAGAAAATGTATTTATTGTCTACTACAATGTATAATATTATTTTTTTTCAGGCTAGAGAGCATTTGATGTATGTTAACAACAAGAAAACTCAACTATAAACCTTTTGAATATTAAGCCACAAAATTATTTTATAAGTTTGAAAAAGCATGTAGTGATTGTAAATGCTAATAAGTTATCTGTTGCATTTGGCCTGTTATTTAAATATTTTTTATTTTTGTTTTTAATGTTAAATATCCTTCCCAAACACAATTATATATTAATTCTCTCCAGAAATTTGTGTAAATTATAGATTGTAAAGTTACCTATAAATAACTTAGAATTTGGTCGGAAATCATAAATTATTAAATAGGCATATCTCGAAACCAAATGTAGATCGAATATACACAGAATTACAAAAAACCCTTGAGGTACATTAAGGTAACTTTCCCTTGCTTATAAAATGAAATGGGATTTAACATCCCACTTTTTTATGTTATGAGGGAATTTCTGCCCTGGTAGTTAAACATACATTATGCAAGAGCTAAATCTGCCTATTGTGGGTCTTTCTTTAGGCCTGAAATGTTATATAAACAATTAATTAGACATTAATTAACGTATCCAGACCATAATCAACTCTCGATGTCAACGCTAGCCTGCGATATTTGTTGGATTATGAACCGATTTGCTGCATAACTTTCCTTCTTGATTTAACGATTAAATGGATAATCGAGACTATGATTTTTATCGTACCGACTTTAGTAATGATGACCGAGGCAATGCGGAACTTTCGATCGCTTATTTCTCGGTTCATAGTGGATCACTTTGACTGAAATGTTCAGCAAATTGCCTTTACAGTATCTAGTTTTTAACTATTATAATGAGAACTACCAACTTGTTATCTAATCTCCCATAATTTATCTTTAAGGTATCATCCTACTTTTCTGGGTTTTTTGTTTTGTTTTTAATGTTAAATAGGGCCGCCTGTCCAACTTCGTTGGTTTTCTCCAGGTCCTCCGGTTTCCGCCCAGTTTGTGTCGAATGGACGTTAAACCCCATTTCTCCCTCTCTCTCCTTAACAAACCCAATTATATTGCAATTCTCTCCAGAAATTTGTGTAAA